TTCTCTGCGTAAGGTACAATACAGTATGTTCTATACCATATCGTACCTTACACAGTCGTTCATGCCATACAGTATCCCGCTACACACAAACAGACAGACACACACATTCCAATAAATACATAAATACACAAAAAACTTATTCCCAAAAAAGTAATGAAATTCACGAAAAAACGCGGTGTACAGGATAATCATACTCACTGAACATATTATAAAAGTGGGTTTGTAGAAACATAAGGTGAAATTCAATTTCATTCCATAGTGTAATTAATCTAAAAGTATTTGTATCAAATAGCAAAGACCATCATTTCAATTGAGCACCATAATCATGAAAAAGAAATGATGAATATTCTTCATTTAAAATGCTTCATCAAATTCAGCAGTTTATAGTTAAATTTTGACGCCCAAATAACTTATGCTTTTGTCTGACTAAAAATTAACTAATCATTATAAAAATAACATTGCAAGAATATTTTTAACGAATGAAAACAGAAACAGATGAGTGTTCCTGTAAGTATAAAATCAAAAATTCTACATCCAAAGGAACAGCATTTACGACAGCTCCCTGAATAGATTTTTTTTTTTCTTTTGAAACATAAAAGTGAGGGAAAATATAGAGGAACTGTGCTATTTTTTTTTCGACATGAACATATAGTTTCGTAGAACGAGGTAGTAGTGACAGTAGCAGTAGTAGTGAAAGTAATTAGTAGTAGTAGCTGTGATAATAGCAGTAGCAAATAATAAAAAAATTCAGGACCAGAAGAGACCCTTTAAAAAGTTTACAGGCAATCATGAAATCATTCACATCCACCGTGTCTTAAGAAAAGCAAATCCCTGAAATAATGGTTAGAACAACAGTAAATTGTAATATTAAGTTTAAGAATGAAATAATTAATGGTAGGATAAAACTATGAGGAAATAAAACCCAGCGAAAATTTCTATGCTTTCTTAAAAATGACTCGATTTTACCGATTAAGCAAAAAGAAAAGGATTGTGAAATTCTTGTAAGCAATGCTAACAAGGCATCAATTTCCTTCAAGAAAAAAAGCTACATTTAGCTAACTCTTTTTCGCCAATACCATTTGACGATATATCCATTCTACACTAAATTATAAATCTACCTGTCAAAATTTACAAAATGAACTTTGAAGAAAGAAATTCATCTCGAGTTGCTGGTGAGAATAGCAATAGTATTTATGCTTTTGGAAACACGAATTCTGCAGTATCTACAAATTCGGCTTAAAGAGTTATCATGAACAGTTTTTTAAAATAAAGTAAATCATTACATATTTGATTACAACTCCGATCAAATGATCAGAAAGACATGATTTTCGTGAATTTCAATCAACCTCTTAAAAAAGAAAATCACAAAATCCCATCTCAAAATTAGGATTTTTTTTTCAACTAATTTTTAATAAAACGTTAAGAAAAAAAAAAAAAAAAAACTGTCAGAATCCAAATGTTTGCCCTCAATCGACACCACCGCGGTGGCAGAATACTTCGTTCCTATCGTTCATGTAAGCTGATCTAAAGATTTCGAAACAGCAAAAGTAACAGAGGAAACAGTTTTGGTAGCATAGATAATTAATTTGACTTCACAGGTTCCAATTCTTGACGGTGCTAAGTTTACTGAGCGCTCAATCGTCTTTACGGACTATTCAAAGGAAAATTTTGCAGTATACTTTTTACACCACAAAATGCCGAAATGCACAATGAGGCATTTCAACTACTATGTCATCTCTGGAATCTTAAATGACATGTCCTTCATTAGGAGTAAGACTCTTAGCTTGTAGTAACAACAGATTTAATCAATAATGAATGATCAGTTTCTTAGCTCTTCAATCTCACAAATGTTTGGTCAAGCACTTTAAACACTGCTTTAAATTTGAATGAATGAAAGGGAATGTTGGTTTGCATCAAATTTTGGAAATTCTATAACTGATGCAAACAAAACTTCTCAAAAATTTGAGGATTTTTTTACTTCTATTCTAATCTATAATCTTCATTCCTTCTATTGAATATATAAATAAAAATTCATGAGAAGGCATCAGGAGTTTGTTTGAATGCAAAGTTTGGTTCATTAAAGCGAAAAGAGAGATGCAGTATATGAAGACATTTCCATATGGCCAACAGATCTCACATTATCAGTGTGGCAAAATTAATGAAAGTGAGTTAAGTTGTACTAACTGAATTTATATAAGTGTATGAGTGAGAAAATGAAATAAAAGAAGCGAACTGTGCACAACAATAAATAGCATAGAGTATTCTCAATAGTGGGAAAGATGGAAGTACAAATATACGGATGGATAATAATACAGTAATAGTGGTAGCAGTAGTAGTAGTAGTAGCACTAGCAGTAGTAGTAGTAGTAGCACTAGCAGCAGTAGTAGTAGTAGCATTAGCAGTAGTAGTAGCAGTAGCACTAGCAGCAGTAGTAGTAGTAGCATTAGCAGTAGTAGTAAACATATATCAAGAAACTATGGAATTCATAAAGCATATTATCAGAAATATATTATGCAAAAGAATCTTGAAATTTTACTTTATTAATCTTAATTAGAAAAAAAAAGTGAATTCAGTGAATTCTTCTTGTTCATATCATATAGTTTACCATTTAGTTAGAAGACATCTATGGTCTTATTGAAATTTGATTAATAATGACAGTTTTGAAAGAAACAATTCTTTTTGACGGCTTTCTTAAAGAGAAGCTACAAGAGAACTAAGAACCAAGAAATTATGTAGAAGATGAAAAATCATTGTGTTGATTGAAATGAATATCAGAACATATAACGTTTCATATTACAAATCCACCAAGCAAAAAAAAAAAAAGAGCGCATTTTAAAGAAATGAACAGCATAATGGAAGATTTGAGGGATTAAAATACAAAGGAAGCAGACAAGAAAAATGCTTTAAATGAGAGCCAAATATGAGAAAAAAGATTTCATGTGAAAAAAAGATCAGTTAAAATGGAAATATCTGAAAATTGATGAAGACAATTCAGAAATAAACAATTACATACAAAAATAAGGAACTAATCTTATTATTCAACTTTATGGATAAACGATTGCCTTTATTATCTAATCTCATTTCTTCAAGAAGGAGTCAATTTCGAATGATGCAATTAAATAGTAAAAAAAAAAGACCTAAAATTTGAAAAAGTAATAAGGCCAGTTGCTTTTTGTCTATGCTGAAATCAAAAAAAAAAAAAAAAAAATGGAAAACTCAAGAAAAAAGCTTAGAAAATAGTACAATAATATGCAAAGGAAAAAATAGTATTCTGTATAGCTTATGGAAAAGACCAATAATGAAACGAATTGATTAATGATTTCAGGATAATCTGAACAGTATGAAGTATTCATATGATGATATGAAGGAATAAAATAAAAAGGATAACTTCTACAAAACCTTGGACAGAATCTTTTATAGTTTTCAAACAAAACAAATTTTCAAATGTTAATCCTTTTTTTTTTTTTTTTTTTTTTTTGAAAAAATAGAACAGAGACTCATACAATGTGAGGAGATCACGACGCGAAAAAAAGTATGAGCTAAAATTTAGCATAATTTGATGCTTTTTCAACTTCAAGCTAATGCAACACGGAATGAAGCTAAATTTAATATAAGCTATAGATTTACACTTTCCAATTCAAGATGGAATTGCTAATTAGAACAAGTAGCCAAAGTGTGCGTTAAAAGTTTGAGCATCGAAATATGCCATAATCATAGTTTAATGATGCACCAGAAATGTCAAACATTGTGGTGCTAGTACCAGTTTATGCTTGATTTCCACTCCTCTTTTTCAATTCCATCCCTCTTAAACAATTATATTTCATATGGTAAAGGTCACTATCAACGATTGTTTTCCACAATAAAATAGAAAGGTCAAACATGAGCTGGTACCTTGAGCAAATCGACTTCGTGATATCCTATCTAAACAAAGAATACACATTGTTCTAGAGAATACTGTTCAGCCACCATGCAGGTTGCTTTCCCTTCAATTTGCATTGTCATCAATAATTTCAACTGAAAGAAATGACGAAGGAAATTTGGAGAGGCATATGAAACTGAAGAATTAACCAATCATCATCTTATTCCTTGCATGAACAGCTCAAAAGAGACAAAGAGGCAAAGGGAAAATAGGTGATAATGCTATCATAAAAATAAATAAAAAGAAAAAACAAGCTTTCAAATAAAGGGCATATTCCCAAAGGATATATAATTTGAGATAGATTTGAGTACCTGTTATTTAGAATCGCTTCTCTAACTTCATCAGATAAGGCTCATCTTTTCTGTGGTCAATGAATAAGGCTCAGAAATAAACCAAAATGTCATGACTATGGAAAAATGCATTACCCTGATACAAATTATAAATGAAAATTTGGTTACGCAAATAATTTTGCATTTTTCCTGAAAAGACTCCAAGTTCTCAGTGATCCAATGCACTAGCTAATCAAAAGCGATCTTCCGATTTAAGTCGATAATAGAAAAATTGTGCCCAAATGTATGTTTTACTATCGGAAAAAAAAAACTTATACCTACCATCTGGATAGGAATATCCTGAAAACTTATTGTCTGATGAGGAATAAAAAGAAATATAATCCACGAAAAATACAACTTCAAGAAAATAATGTTAACAATGACAAATGTTCCAACTATTTAAAAATTTAATAAATGAATAAATAAAAAGATAATAAACGATAATTAGTAAAAATAACAACAAAAATACTTCCTTACAGTAATTGCTAATTTGTGCCTGTATGCAAAGATGCTTTTATCTCTCCATCCATCTATGTCAACGCGTAACTTTTCAGTCAAAAATTTAGATTTCTCAAGATTTTAGTTGGAAAACAGAAAATAAGTGATGAAACAAATAAACAAACAAAAGTTTTTTTTTTTTTTTTCAGTTTTCAACAAAAACATCAGAAATAGAGACAGAGGAAGAGACAGAAAGAGCAAAACAGAAGGTTGTTTGCCTGGTTCACCTGAGCCTGAAGTCACAGTGTGCCAAATCACTGGTCACCATTACTACTACTATTACTACCACCACCACCACCACCACCACCCGTTTGTGTACCGTCACAATCGACGGGTCGGAATGTGCAATCGGTTTGTTGGCAGCGCACCTGTTGGTGCTGTGGACAGCGACGTCCGCCTGAGGTAAAAGTTGTCAACGCCCAATCCTGCTGCAAAATATCAGTTTTTTGAATAAAATGAAGCATAATGATGAAGAAAAAAAACAAAAAAAAAAAAGGAATGGAATTATTTAAAAATATCGAAATTCTGTAAACACAGATATAATATGAAAATATGGCGGCACAACAACCTCCGGGTACGACAGAATGACCACAATTATCCTAATGGATATCAGTTGTAAAAAAAAGTAAAAATGTAGCAGAATGCATGGTGCAAGATAATTAATAACGAGGATAAAGTAAAGAAAGCCACAAGAAGTAGTAGAAAGGTTCTACCCAATGTCTATCACTACAGGAAGTGCAGATCAGTCAGTCCAGCGTAATCACCAAATTTAACTGAATTACCCATAAGATCGTCATAAAAAATTTAATATGAAAAGATGAAAAGTTTAAGATTTTAAAGTAGATAGTTCTAAGGTGTTCAAATAATAATAATAATAAAAAAATAATAATAACAACAAAACTCGCTAAATAAGACGCTTACTTTTCGTTTTTCGATGTCTTTATCACTATTACCCATCGCTGAATCGACGAATTCTTGAGATCCAATGCCACAAACATTGCTTACTACTAAGCGCTGAAATTGAACGATGAGAATGAAATGATTGTGTGACATATGAAACAGCTATTGGAGCAAACAGAATGATTTTTGAAGCAAAATTTTATAATTTTCTTCAACTCCGAATATATTTGTTTTGAGACTTAAGCCATCAAACAGATCAACAATCAATCAGAACATTCAGTTTGTCCTTCTCTCTCCTTGTCCTATTTATATTCCTCTTATCACAATTTATATTTAGCTATTTATCCAAATACACGAGTTAACGATGAAATGTAGTCTTCCAATCATCTCTAAAATGATTAAAACAAGAAGATAAAAGATTATACTCCAATTTCGGAACAGAAAAAAGATTATCAACTATTCCTTAGACAGATATAAGTTCGTTCTGCATACCAACTATATTGCAAGCATTATCGGTACAAATTAAGGTCTGCACTAGAATGAAATGTATTAGAAAAAAAAAGAGAATAATTAGCACTGACAAATTTTAACTTAATTCTATTAATTCCATTATCATTTCAAAGTCCATAAGTTTAGATCCAGTCTAAATACATTTATTTTTATATTTCGGTTCAGATATTTTAGTAAACTACCAACCTCTCGCATTTTTTCGAAATCCAGCGATGGTCGACCGCTGCTGATCATACGACCACGTTTCAGTGGATGCGCGGGCAACGCATCAAGTTCATTAGCGGAATCTGTTTTATTCGACTGCTGATGATGGTGATAGTTGGCTGCTGTAGAAGCTAGAGATGAACGTCGAACACCTGGATTATGAATAATCACTTTGACCGGTTGTCGACGTGCCGCAACAAGTGTCTCACGTGAATTGTCACCATTGCCACTGCCTGTAGCATTACTTATATTTCAGATACTAGTAAATTATTGAATTCATTTCGCATCGATATTGCAACTTGTACACCACTTCCCCATATTCATCACCAAAAATTCTTTAAAATACCATAGAAAAAATAAGAAAGAAAAGAAGTAGTAGACGATCGTGTAACATATAACAGCACTTTAAATGGGAATATGCGCAAACATATTTCATATACATCTACTCACTCATATAACCATCATTCAGTATAGTCTTGCTTGGATCTATTTGACCAAAGATAACACATCGTCTCGTTCTTTCAAAACATAGAACATAACATATATAACATTAATATATTGTGACGACAATAACAGATGACTCGCCTTCACAGCGCAGTACGGTAGAGAACAGTTTTCTGCTTGCGAACGACCATATGCTATCTGTTTATAACTGGTAACTTACTATTGTAACTACGAAGTCGCATTGCAATCGGAGAGGACGGTGATTTGGTAGTTTCACGACCAAAACGAAATTTCGTTGCTATACTTTCGTATCGACGTTTCTCCCCAATTATTCCATGGGTTACTACTTGTTGTTGTGATTGTGACTGGTGATGATCGTTAAACATCAAATCGAGTGCAATATTTTTGTCACTCATCGTTCCAGACTCCTAAATTATTTAGAATTACTTATCTTAAAATTAAACTTTTGGATTTAATAAATTCCCCGAAACGCAATGTTCTCATCAATTTGTTATTATATATATTCCTTTTTCTTTCTCACTTTTTAGCTTCCAATATAATTATTAAAAGACTGCCAAATCCAGTTAAAAAAAAAACCTAATTTTGAAATAATTTATTCATTTTTCCAGATCCAAAGTTTACTATAAAAATGAAAATGATATTGATGAGAAAAGAATAAGAAAAAGAAACAAAATTGGTGAAGGTGAGAAAAATTACTCTTATATGAAGTAACAAATTGTAATTATTCACTGCCGGCGATATTATTCTGATAGTCGTGGAAACTCCAATTTTTTGTAATATAAAATAATAAATATCATATGCAAATTACAAAGAAATGAATTAAGTAGTTAGATGCTTTATTACTTCACATAAAAGGCAGAATGTTAATATCGCCGGCAGTGAATAATTACAATTTGTTATTCATACTTTAATTATGGAAAATTAAAGTATATTTGTCAACAATAATAGTAGTGATGAATAGAGAAACTGGATGAGTACACTGCTCCATACATTACTATGTCCTATTTTTGTTTCATGATCCGGCCAATGAGATTCCGTACCGCGGTGCAAAATAATCAAAGCATTTAGATGCAATATGAAAGTGATAATCCACTGATTCCAATTAAACGACTTGTTTCTTGGGAACCTTTTTATGCCTAAATTTGTAATTATTGTCTCTTGACAATTAACCTCTTTTAATCACGATCCAACCAATGTTAGAATGTGATATTACCTATTTTCTTCTGAATTAAATAAAAAATGTATTGTGAGACAAGGAAAAATCAAATTTATAAATATTTTATAGACTGAAAAGGAGAAGAAAAATTTTAGTGGTTCAAATTTTTTTTTCAAAGATAAAATTTTTATTACTTGCACCTATAGATCAGTGCCTATTTCGTAAAACCCAATGGTTGAAAGAAGAAATGAAATTTGAAATTGAAAAATTAAAGGACAAGCAATGATTAACGACTATCAACGAGAGATAGCACAGTTCAATAATGCCATTTTTATAAATTCAAACTGAAAGAGTCTAAAACCAGACAAGCCACTGCTACCGGCAATAAAAATTATCAACACTATGTGATTTAAAAAAAAAGAACGAAAATTATTGGAAACTATTAGAAAAACTATCATTTAGTTTTCTGATACATACAGTAAACTAAAAGTACAAATACTTTAAGCTTGAAGTATCGGCCATATGTTACTAGAGAGATGAGCCCTGCAGTTTTCTAAGAATGTGACACATTTTAAGCTAATAGAGAAAGCTAAAAACATAGCCTAATACAAAGAAAAAGTCACAACTTGGGTAGGATTAGATGATATAGAATTCGAAGTTTGGGACATGATTCTGTGAGGTGGTACGTCAACAGGAACAAACAAATATTCGAAACGTTCAAACAAATATTCGAAACCTTTTATAATTTTTTTCAAGTTATTTTTTTTTTTTTTTTGCTATATTAATTAGGTCGTCCAGAATGCATAAAACATCGTGCTTTAGAGCCTTTTATAATACTTGAAAAAAAAAAAAAGAAAAAAAAAAATTACTTGCTTTCAGTAAGAATCATAACAATGACAAGCAGAAATGATTTTGATAAGATATTAAAAACCAATTTTTTAGGAATGAGTTTGCAGCATTTGCCGAAGCAATTCCAATTTTTTAAGTCAAAATTGCCTTTTAAATTTTCGGTCGTTCAAAGCCTTTTCTTTTTTCAAAAATTATTCATCAAATTTCATAACATTCAGTAGGCTACTCTATATGCACCACAATGGGAGATGGATGACATTTTATGTTGAATGGCAATTTTGAAGCGGATGATGACTACCGAATAAACAGGATACAACCTTAGAATGGTCTGTCAATTGTCACAAAATGTAACCATCTACTACCCATTACCATCTAAACCACTACCACCACCTGCTGTGCGTAGTTTACAAGGAAAAAGAAAGGACGCCGGTAGGTTCGAAGTACAAGATATAACAATACATATCTTTAGAGAATCTAATTTTGATTTTCTTAATGTCATATAATGCATACGGATCATAATGAAACTCGTAAAACTGTCGGAGATAAGTTCTGATAAGATACCAACATTTATGAACTCATTTTACTCTTGAATTCTTAAAAGATAGCACTGCTAAAATATAATATTCAAAGTATGATTTTCCGCAAATATCTGGAAATATATATATATAAGTCTACATAAAAATATAAGTATATATATATATATATATATAAGTCTATATATATATAGTCGCAAATATAAATCTAACTAATATATATATATATATATATATATATATATATATATATATATATATATATATATATATGTATATATACGAGAAAACGAAGAAATTATATCTTCCATTAGATACATTGCAAGAAGCAGTACACTTCACAACAGCAAAAATAATTGATAAATATATGCCAAATAGTTACTCACCTGATTCGATTCATTCTGAGTGTAACGTCTTCTAGTAACTGGACGGAATGCTCCCGTTTCAGCTTTCCCTGAGTCAGCATTGTTAGATCCATTCGTACTTACAATATCTTCATTAATTTTACCCGCATTCATCAAAGACATTGTTGTTGCTGTTGATGTGATACTGGAAATATATAATTCAAAAGCTTCGAAAAAAAAAAAAAAAACAAAACTTGTTGCAAGGCCATCAGTTATTGATGTCTTGACAAAACCATATATTTTTTATCATTGTAAATTTAAATGAGCTTCCGAAAGTTCCAACCATTAAATTAAATTATTCTACAGCATCTTTAAATGTAATTATCAAAATTTTTTAACTGAAATGAAATCTTTCAGCAGATTTATTTTACAATTCGTTGAAAAATTAATAGTGATCCATTAATTTTTTTTTTGCTTCATTTCCATGAAAGATTAAACTCTAGCGTGAATTTCAATTAATCCTTTTCTTTTATTCTAGCTAACCAAAAAGTATCAGTAATATAATCCACACGTTTTATGTCTAATTCTCCTCATCTCTTTATTTTCTTTTAATTTCAAAATTTAGTAGACTTTAAAGCCTATTTCAAAAATCTACTTCATTCAAAAATTTCTCCTTCTTCTGCGTACAAACTAAGTGAATATCTCTTTGATCTCGTATCAGTTGCATATTTATGTCCACCAACAGATACTCACTTCCAAAATATCAACTGGATGAAAATCAAATCAAAATGAAATATCATCGCTTTTAAGAATCAGTTTTAAGGCATCTGTGACACACAAATCCAAATAGTATGGTATAGGTAGACATCGTCAAATATTCCTAAGGAAAGAGTAAAGAGTGCTATGACCTGGATGGTATCGATGTGTGAAGGACGATCTAATAGATCGTATACAACTCCAAACTAATTCATTGATTTCCTCATCGTAGTACGGAAACTAGATTAGAGATGAAGGAGGGACCCAAGAGGCAATCAAATTTTAATCGTCATAATGCATGAACAGGTATTTCCCCTTGACGTTTTTCTCCCAATTCTGATTACTGCTAAAAGCAATGAATTGCCAAAAACTATTCACTAAATCCAAAAGTGGAAATTTAAAAAGAAAATTAAAATTGCCAAGTATAAAGAACAGCAGCAGTACTTCTGATGGAATTCACAACAACAATTGATGCATGGAGAAAATGCTCGATTACTATTGATTCCTTTTCCCTGTAATTTGGTATTATTTTTTCCCTTCCCTTAACTCATGCAAAAAATGTCATCGTTACTGGATAAATGTCGAAATGAATTTGACTTGAAAAAGCATGTGATAAGAAAGTCGATAAAATTCATTAAACTGCTCTTTGGCAATTGAAAAACGCACTAATTTCTCCAAATTAGTTTCTTTCATTCAAAACTGTTCTCTTCATTTAATCTATTTCAATTTTCATTTTAATAATTGGCTGGACAAATATAACTATTCCCTTCCAATCATCGATATTACTCTGTCCACGTAAGAGTGAAGACAGGAGCTTTGAAATATTAGTTGAAGCTTATTTGTCAGAAATTATCTCCTCATCAAATCATTAGTGGATATAAACGCTCCATCAAAATGTGATTCAGCCAGAACAACACAATGATAGTGAAAATCTCATTTCAGTTAGAAGATGGCTACCGTACGAATTATATATAGATTGTTGCTTTTGAAAACTATTCAACTAACATATTTTTACTATTTTCCTTATTCAGAAAAAAAAAAAAAAAAAGTATTTTAATGGTGTAGTATATCAAAAAATGTAGCATTAGAGACCCAAATTTCATTTCTAATTTAACATGATAAAAATATGAAAACTCTTATCAGATAAATAGTTTGCATTCGTAAAGGTGGTTTTTATCTTTCTACAAATTATTTCACATATACACTTTTTTTTTTTTCATTTTTCAGTGCCTTAATACTGAACATAGTTTTATTATTTATAAGTAGTTATGAGCATTCCAATTAATCAACAGCAAAACATAAAAATGATGAATGCTTAAACAATATTTTAAAATTTCTAGAGAGAAATCTGGAAATAACTGGAAAAAGGGTGATAAACTTACCAATTAGTACCCCTTATAAGTTCGTCCAAAATATTATCTTGTGATGCTTCGCTGATTTCACTACTTCTGTCGTGCAACACAATACCAGATTCACAGCCTGTACTGTCCCAGCTGCAGGAAATTTAAAAAATTAATTTTTCAAACAGCTTTTTTTACAAAATACAATGCATATGAATAATTAGCATGAAGACTAAGCGCAAAATTTGCAAAAAGCCGGTTTCATGACAGCGATTTAACCCGATTTCAATTTTATGAATTCATTTTATGCCTTTCTTCTTACTACGTTAAATTCCTAATCTTTTCCCCCTTAAAAAAGTCATTCAAATATGAAATAAAAAAAATATATATATATATAAATCGGCTACAAGAATTCGGGTGGAATTTGAAAACGGTTAAGTACATTAATTTTAAAGAACAATTCTGACATTTGAAGTTCTCACAGTTCAAAAGTAAAAGATTCCAAGGGGAAGTGAGACCTAAAATTCCTTTCAAGTATATGGAAAAAGGTGTTAACAATAATAATATCATAACTTTATTGTGATTATTTTCCTAAGAGATTGCCAGTTAGTCCTACCACTGTTTGCAAGATAAAACGATCCCCGCTTATTGTTGGGAAGAAAATATAAGATCCGAGCAGGAAGAGGAGAAACGGATAAGTTGGAGTCTAAAAAGTGAAAACAAATCATGCAGAAAGTACTTAAAAAATGAAGCACGGCTGGAGAAAATCCGTTTTAGAGATTTGCTTTTTTTTTTTGTTACAAAATGGATATGTCTCTTACTTATTCCATTTCCAAAGACGATTATCGGAGGCTTACCAAAGTAGAATATCATGCAAAAAAATCCATAAAAGTAAAGAATTCTGAACGTTTTAGCTTATTATTGGATTTTATTAAGAAGTGTTAAGAAATGTCAAAGCATACAAGGAGAGCTATTTTCTTATGAAAAAAGACATGAAATCAAGAAAAAAATGATGAATTTCAAAAAAAAATATATTCCAAATTTAAAAGAAATAATTTTTTTTAGTTTATTTTAACAAAGAAAATGCTCATAGAAAACTAGAAAGTATTATAAATGAAGGTATAAATTCTTCATCGGTATAACGAAGGATAATTAAGGGTAAAATTATGCTCTTCGCAAATGATAAATAGGTATTTTAATGGTTCGTTAATTTGCAGCAATAAGAAATGATTACATATGTGCAGGTTAAATTCAATTTAGATAAAAAGCAATTCCCATACTAACTAATTCCTTCCTGGAGTGTAAACTTTACTCCTTTTTTCCTTACAATTGAATTGAATTGGATCAAGTGATAACAAGAATGAATTTAAATTGTTCAATGAACCAATCTTTTGACTAATACGCAACTCCCTTATAGTTAAGACATGTTAAAAAAAAGAACTGTTTGCCACAATGTTAGGAATTTCACAGTGGACCAGGTAAATCTATTATTAACTAGCCCTAGACAGATGCTCAACAGAACTCGAATGTAAAGAACTTTCTTTTTAATTCATTTATGTAAGCATTAGGCGTGTCCAATTGGAAATAAAAATTAAACTGTTAGTAATATATCAAATGGGAAAGGAGTGCCATCAAAGAAGACCGCCAAGACCAAAAGTTCCGTACGTGTTGCTATGCAGAAAAAAGCCAGCATACTGTTGGGAGATAAGAAGTAGTGCGGATGAAAGACAAGAACTGATTTAACTTTGCTGAGTGCGGTTGCTCTTTCTTGCTGTTCTAAAAGACAGTTTCGTCCTCGAAGATATCGTTTAATTCTCTAGTTATCTGGAAATTTCGAATTTCGTAAAAACAAATACAAGCGTGTGAAAAATTCAGGTGAATTTCAGGTGAAAAAATTCTTTATCCGCATAAAAAAAATGCTGTCCATTATATTTATCACTATCCGAAGAAATGTCAAGGAAATATAGGAATAGGGGGATATGTAGTAAACAAAGTATAGCATAAATCCGAGTCTGTTATGCGAAATTAAGAGATTGCAGGAGAGCTGAAAAACGAAACGACAACCAAAGCTAGATCTAATTTCACGCTTATTTGAGCTTAGCTTTCTGACTTTTTGCTATAAATGGACGATGGCGACGACAGAAAGTCAGTCATCTATCTAATTATTCAACGACCAGCCACATCTATCTATTTATCTATCTATTCCAATCCAATCTCAAGCCTATTACTAGTTCTCCCACGCATAACTAATGTGTTTTCCGAGAGAAAACCACCCTAATTAGGTCCCCAAAGGCTGAAACCCTTTAACCAAGTGATGAGAGCCTTTGCATCACACTATATACTAAAGGTTCCTATCTTTTCTCGTCTTCATTACTAATCTTCTTTCCTTCCTTGAATACGAATGCTGTGCAAAAAAGGCCTAAAAAATTGGTGAAAAGTGGGAAGTAAAGGAGAAGTGAAAGAAATAACCAGAAGAGATACTCTTCCTCCTTCTCTATTTTCACTTAACTAGAGCTCCTAATACAAAACACATATATATATATATATATATGTATACACATCGAAAAACCTTTCTTCGAAAAATTACTGATGCGAGAAATTTGTCTCTTCACCAGCAACACAAATGTCCATTCTCTTATCCTTGTACCTACTTCCTTCGTCAGTTAATACCTGTCAAACAGAAATTTCTTTTTTCTTAATCACAGACGGTATCAGTGAGGTTGTTTGAAGAAGCACTAATACATCACATCAAGTTACTATCACAGATATGAATATGAATTCCTGCTGTAATAATCCTAAGTATACTGAAATTTCAATTTATAAGCAATAGATTTGTTTACTGGTAACTTGCACAACTGAAGTCTAATAATAATATTTCATAGCATCAAACATGAGCATACATTTTTTTATGAAGGAAGAGAAGATTAAAAACTTATTCTTTTAAGGCAAGCAATTTATCACTTATTAAACTATCAAATAAGTTCGATGTTATAACAAAATTATCCATAATGTGGCCTGAATAATTCCGAAACTATATGTTGACCACATATAAATTAACACAGTTTGCATTAAAACATCAATTCAGTATAATAAGTGAAGAAGGCAGTTACTATATGTGAGAGTAGATATTACTACCGCACCATAAGAATGACGAAAATGAACGAATGTGAAAGAATCATTAATGCACCATTAACATTATCAACCCGATCGACTTCTTCCTCCCTCACCCATCCAACCATTATCTCCGTGTTTATTTGCATCATTGAAAAGTGTATTGGCTTCATAAACTGACAATCTTCCTACATTGCTAACTACTGGAATGTTCAGGATTAATTTAAACCCTTATTTCCTTCTCACATATGCAAAATTGACAAGTCATTAATTATCTTGTCTGCTACAATAAAGCTGACACAAGTATCACCGTTCATTTTATATATTTGCATACGAATCCCCGACTCGTTTTCAGACATATTCACACTTAAACTTATGGTTTGCAATTTACGTTTGTCTTAGACCATTCTACTTAATCCATTTTTATGGTTTCTTCCACGGGTAAAAATCATCTGACTCGGGCAAATTTTCACAAAAAACTTCATATAAAAACAAAAGAAATCGCTTTTATATCTAGAATCCAAATTCAAAATTGAAGTAGCAAAACTATACTTCTCGGTTGAATAGATGACTTTTTCTGAAAAGACTTACTTCTTTCATTTCAGCTTACTTTATTCAGTACTTTTTTTTTCTGCACTTTCTGTAACCGGGACAGACTGAAACACATATCAGGAATACGATTAACAAGGTCTTTGCATATAAGAGAACGACTCATCAACAAATTTGGCTAGTTATGATGGCACTCACAGTCAGTCCGAGATAACTTGCATCGAAGTGACGAAATGAAAATGTTGCAAATGATGTGATAAACAAGTATTACTCTCCCCATTACTTATCATATACAATCCATTCATTTCAAATGTAGGGTCATAAAAAGGTTTATTTAACCAGCAATTAAGTAGCAGCAAGAGAATTAGAACTTAGCAACTTCAAATCAATTCCTGATGATTTCATCTCGATAATGATCAAAGATGAAAAGAAAGCAACTTTAAACTTATCATACTTGTATTAGCAAAGTGAAACCATCACGATTTCTGGTCTTTTTTCATTTTAAACTTATCAGTTATCATGCTGAAATCCTCTTCTTTATTCTGCAGCAATATCTAGCAATCAGCAAAATGAAAGAACGGTTTCGATGGGCAATAGTAATTAACAGTAACAAAAACAGTAAGAATAATGATTATTAATGATTAATAATAACAATAATAATTATTATTATTATAACAGTAAGCGCTAGAGAATACAAAAGCTTTACTAACTACTACTTCAATTTTATGATCAATACGGTGATAAAAAAGGCCATGTAGAACAACACGTGTAGTGTCAATGGAACACTGGGACAGTCCTGCTGTCATCCATATTTTTTCTTCCTTTGTCATTAATCCCCTTTTTGCCACTGATTAAAAATGCTTTTTTTAGCTTAACATTCCAAAACCTCAATCAAAACATCATCAGTGGGATAGTGGAAATAACCTGTTTCAATTATATTCGTAATGCTGCTGTACTGAATGGTGTATTCAGTCTCCGTACAAACACCGCCATCACTCTCTCATTACATTTTCTAACTTTCCTGCTGGAAGAGCCGATTAATGCTTACTGCAAACAAAGTTCAAACAAATCTGTCTCATAATCCAATGAATTTGAAAAATAAATTTTTCTCATCAAAGCAAATTGTATTGATATCTAGTGCAAATGTACTAATTGAAATTCGGGAATAATCCTGTAAGAATCCCAAATACGTCCATATATCCTCAAAAATTGGAAAGGAAATTTAAAAGAATAAACCCATTCGTTAAATCTAGTAAAGAACCAATGTAAACAATCCGTTAACATCTTTCTTTTCAGTCGAAAATCTCTTCCGCACTGCTATTTCATCCTTCCCCTATATTCATAAAACTACACGTATGCAGAATGCTTTAAATAAGCCTAGAAGAGGATGCATAGCACTATTCCAAATATTGAATTATTAATGACCCACACATCATGTGACCCTCTTTCAAGTAATCATTAAATAAATTAACCAATCAAGTGATATTAATGTATGTCTACGTCACTTGTTTTTTATTTTTCTCCTCTCTTGTAAAGGTATCAAACTACTCCCTCCGAATATTCAAATTTCGAGAGGTAATCTCAGTGCATTTTCAGGTTTGTGCCGTAAGTTCCATTACACTTACCATTACCGCCCTGTGAATCTTTCATGCAACCCACTGTCATAGTCACAACAACAACGAAATGTAAAAGTTGGCTATTTGGTTCTCAATGCGTAAATAAAATTAATAACGCATAACCTTCCAATGTTCACTGCCCCTTTTTGCTACACCATCCCAACTGCGTCATCCAATTACCACACTGTTTTATCTATTCTTTCTTTCTCGTCTCAGACCTTTTCCATTCTCTTTCAACCATTTATTTTTTCTTTCAATTGTTCTTTTCACAGTCTTTTTCTCTCTTACTGGCCCTTTCCATTTCTCAAGATGAACATCTTTTGCCTCTCAATAATTAAATGTAATTACAAACATCTACTGCTTCAGATGCATTCACAGTTCAGAATTTAAAAGCAAAGAAGAGAAGAAATCTACACCTATTTCCCGGAAGAGTCCTTGCCAAAACCGGGTTTACGTGAATCTCGTACAGTGCAGTATTATATCATATAGTATGAATCGTTAATTGATGGGTTGGTCATTCTGTTTCATTTTTAAAACTTGCAACATTTACAGCAACAACAAAAAAAAAAGCTATAAGATTGATAAGGAAGAAAGACAGGCTGATAATAACACTAATATAATCTCTAGGGTTCTGCTTGAAAAAGATAAATGTAAGATTAAGGCTTTTGGAAGAAAATATGAGTAAGTTAATACTGATAACAACAATCATGATAAATTTCTAATCATTAAACTGTATTGCATTAATGACAGGTTGGTTTCATTTATAGTAGTTGTTGCAGAAGTGAATAACGAAGATGATCGGAATTAAATAGCATAAGAGAAGTAATGATAATGGTACAATGTATTCACGGTTGAACAATATTTAGGTGACTTTGTCAGAATTTTTTTCTCATTTAATGGCACCCGATGTCATGCTCTTAGGACACATTTAATTCTACATCATTACTTTCAATTATTATGTCTCACTCATTAATATCACTCGATGATAGACACAAGTTTAAATTAGAATTCGTCCATTCTAAATGCCATTTGTACTCTTTTCCCCATCTATAGAGAAGGTAAAGAAAATTGTCTGTCTTTCTTATCGATGTACTAATTGCCATCAACAATAACTCAACAACCATCCATCAGAACGATAATGACAGTTCAATAGGAATGTAAAATTACTTTAACCAATCAACAATATTATCCAGTCTGAAATGTGGCGCAAATGGACTCAATACTAGAGTAAATAAAAAAGGATAACCATGAATACATTGTACCATTATCAATACTTCTCCTATGCTATTTAATTCCGATCATTTTCAATATTTACTTTTGCAGCAACTACTAGAAATGAAACCAACCTCTCAATAATGAAATACAGTTTAATGATCAGAAACTTACCATGATTGCTGTTATCATTATCATGATTAATAATATATATCTCACAACGATTATTATTACCACTACTACTCTACAACAACAATTAATATCAACAATTTATTACACATAATCTTCTTGCTTTCTTCTTTAATAAAGTTAATTAACGGACAATGAAAGTAAAAAATATGTAAAATGCAAAAAGTTTCCCTCAATATAAACTTTCAGAAAAGAGTATCGAATGAAAATGTTACTTGCAAGTAAAACAAATTTAATGGTCGAAATCAACAAATAACAGGAAAGTTTCCTTTCTCTTAGTATAAGTCTCGAATCCTTTTTGTTAGAGAAGGTTAAATCAATTCATTTGATCTATAGCATTTCATTTCTTTCGAATTAACTAGTTTATTAGCTATGTTGTGTATGCAAAAAATAAAAAGGATTGTTTCATAAAATTAAATTACTTATTATTCCTTATTAGGCGATAATCCGCTTCAACCTTAACAGATCACGTCAGGATTATCAGTATCGATTAAAGTGGATTTGTATACTGTATAAGAATTTTCCATCAGTGCACAAGTTTCATTTTCCACAGAAAGTATAGGTAATTGAAACAAAACTACTCATGAATTAACTGAACATAAACTTGGAACAATAAAATAACCCACAAATTTTTTTAGTTTTTACGACGCAGTTTATGACAAAAATCATGCAGAAAAGTACATCAGTTTGTCTAGTTACACATGATGAACAATATTTACTAGTATCGGAGATAGCACTTGCTACATGGAGATTTCTTGAAGGAAATTAACCTCGGTTTGAAGAAAATAACAATTCTTCACCGCCTTCATCTAGAGCACTCGAAGTAAATAGGCTTCGAATTCTGCATATAAAGGCGGTGAAAATGCTTTCTGTCCAGCTAGACACATTTTATTCATAAAAATTTACTTCTGCTCTCTTTCTTTCTGTTTGCCTTTGATTTTTTCTTTCACCACACGAAATATTTAATTAAAAAAAAAAAGAAAAGAAAAACTCTTAAAAATAATGGAAAGATTACATCCGTTTTCCCGAAGATAACAAGAAATTTAAAATAAAAAAGCAAGTTATGATTTCTTGACTTAATATCAAATCGGTATTTGCTCCAGTAAACCCAGTAAATCGCACCGAAAATTACTGTCAGCAAGAAGCGGCTTTTCCTAACTTTCCAGAATTTTAATGACAAAATTAACTATCATTAGAAAAAAACAAACTTAAACAAACCTATCTGTTTCGAATTCACTAGCTAGAGGCGGTGAGCTGGTCAGATTTGGTGGACTGCTTCCCATTATATCCGTTGAAGGCGCTCTGTTCAGATCTGCAAGTTTTTTTCGATAAAATAATTACAAAAAAAAGAGAAAAGAGAATGAAGAAAAAAGAGACAGGAATATTACTAAACGATAGTGGACAAATTAAAGAAGGTTCCTGGATAAAAAGATTGAGCATTCTTTTCCAAATGTCATACTTCAGTAACAGCAACAGTGAAAATACTATCATCGACAGATGTTGCCATAATTAATAGCAGCAATATGTAAATTTTTAAGCAAGCTATTAAAGCAAAGCACAATTCATGAAAGATCTGAAATGCTTTAATTTCTTTTTAGTTTCAACATTTTCATTACACAAACATACAAACATTTATGCTTCAACTAATCATTCATTGGAAGTCGCCTAATTTGTATAAAGAAAGAAAAAAAAAAAACAATCTGAAACTATGAAAACCTCTCATCCGTTGGGCACCTTAATGATTTCCAATATCAGCCACTGCATCGTTAATCTAATTAAACCTATGATTGTAAGTGATTTCCAGAAGTTCAAAGTAACTGTTCATCAAATGATTGCATCAAATCTAGTGAAATTTGCATTAACTAAATAATCATTCATTCCATCTCTTTCGCTATATTTACCAACAAACCAAGTAATCAAGACGATTAAGAGCACATATGGATGAATAAAATGTTGGAGAAAATGAAGACTTGAAAATTACTCAATAACTGAAGGTTTTATTTATCTCCTATATGTCATTTTCATGCATGAAAAAGTACTGAATTCAAAATTTTCAAATTTAAAATGACTGTTACGAGTGCAAATTTAAAAGTTGAGCAGCACAAATATGAAATTATCAATTATCATTAAGTCAATAATGTTTCTGAACGAGTCAAATTACACAAATGCTCTATACATTATTACTACATTTTAATAGGAATAAACAGTCTCGAGTCCTCTTTTATCACCCTACTACATTTATTTATATTTCAATCGAAGCAATTGATTAGAAGAGGTATGAAGGAGAAACGGAAAAGGTGTAATAACTATTTAAAAGCTATTTCCCAAGTTCACTTTATTTTACTTGCATCATAACTATTCTATCGTCTCCAACTGTCCATTTTTCTCTTCAACTTACTTTGGACGATAATAAAACTGATTTTAAAACAATACGATTAGTTTTCGAATTCTGCTGCATACTGTCAATAGAGTGTATAGTAATTACTTTCTTAACACTCCTGTATTCTGATAATTAAATAATGTAGACAAGGTAATCTTATTAAAAAAGAAAAAAAAAAGTGCCACAACATTATTAATTGTATGCACCTCTATTACTTAACACTTTGATAACAGTGTCGATTATTTAATCCAAAAACTTACTTGAATCAAGCTGTTCTAATTCATCGTCATCTGATTCGGTTCCCGAGTCAATCATCACCAATGCAGTATTGTCCTGAATGTCTCAGGTACATTTCAGGTCAGATGTGTAAAAATATTAAAAAAAATAAAATAAAATAATAATAATAATAAATAAAATAAAATAAAATAAAATAATACGAAAAAAAAAAGGAAAAAAACCTCATAAAGTGCACTTATTCGAGCACTTCGACGACTTGGTTGCTGAAGTAGTGGTACTATAACTCCAGTTGGCACTGTTGCCGTTGTTCTATTAATTCCAAGATTAACATTATTAGGAGCAGACCCGAGTGAAGCAGTATTGCTTGTTATTTCCTCTTGCAGTGAATGTTTCTTGAATTTGTTCACTAATTTACCGAGCATTTCCGCTCTTTCTTACCCTGTTTTGTATCCAATATTTCAAAAAGTCGAAAGTTTTTCAGATTTAAAGATTCACAAATTAAAGAGAATAATGTGGATGAAGATGATGACTCTTCACGCTCTTCAAATTTACTCTGTTGCTAGCAAAACCCGTATGACGATGCGCATACACGCCTGCACTTGCACCACGAAACGTCTGCAATTGCAAAAAATTTACTAACCACAAATGTTTTCAGACCACTACTGTTATTGCTCTTCTCGTAAGCATTAGAAGATTTCACGCAATATACATCTAATAATGCACATAGTAATATTAATACAGCAACATAAACTAATTGAGAAAACAGCATGTTTACGTGACTGGTGATTATTCACGTCCTTCCAGTTTACTTTGTTCCACACAAAAATTTGAATGAATACCCTACCACATGCAGGATAATGGTTGAATGAGAGAAAACTGATATCACTTTTACGATCCTAAAAAATCCCGTAAAGCAGTAGAATTAAACTGAAAAAGGAATGGTATATAACAAATACGTGAGATCCAGCAATTTAATAACGTAAAACATTCGCACCACTGAAACACGTATCAGTTTGATTTTTTTTTTCTTTTTTCATATTTTGATTCGAAGAAACTAATTGACAAGGAACAGCTGGGATTACATAAAAAAGAGATAAGAAGGAGTTACTGCTGGAACGAATCCAATAAATGGTGAAAATTTTTGAATTTTTCATCTTCGAAGATTAAAAAAAGTAATTCATGCAACATCTGCCATGAGATGACAGCATACGTTCTTTTCTTGTCATATAAATGAATGAATTCAATTCACTATATACAATTAAAATTAAAAGAAAGAACAAGAAATAAAAAAGTAGTGAAAAAGAATGGAAAAATGATCATAGTGTTTTGAAATTGAATCTATTCCTCTTCAACAAATCCATCCAAAAATTCAAATGAACAAATAAGAAGAAATGGATCCAAATATTTGCCAGTTTCAACCATCGTTAAGGTTAATGAATGCATTTGCCGTTTTTTTTTTTTTTAACGAATAATGGATTAACGAAAGAAAAAGCTTTGCATTGATGCCTAACAAAAACTTATTAGCCTTAATAGTTGAAGAAAGAACGGACATGATAGGAGCAGATTTTCAAAGCTCTACAACTAGGATAGAATTACATCTGGATACCAATTCAAGAAAAGATGGCGAGTTTATTATTAATTTTCAAACTAAACATTGAAATATCCAGAAGTTTTTTTTTTTTTTTTTCGTTAATTATATTGCCAGAAGTTTTTTGTTAAATGGATCTAACAATAGACACATTATTAAGTATATCTTTCGTAAAGATGGTATAATTCTGTGAACCAAACAGTCATGCATGACTGATTAAAAATTTTAAATTAAAGTTTAAAGAAAGTATATTTTTTGTTCTCCATTCATTCCTTAATCACTATTTCATCAAGATGTACTGAAAGCGAACTATTTTATTGAATAATTACTTAGATTTATCGTGCCCAAAAAGGTTGGTAAAAGTGTTAAACTGTTTGCGTATTTAAAGCTTACTTTATGCATTCTGTTTCTCCCTAACATACAATGTTTTTCAGCTTCTTACTTTCCGTCTTCCTGTCAAAAACAAGAAAAAAGAAAAAATCTGAAATCATTGTTTTCTTTTTTTCGTTTCCTTTCTCTCTATTGTTTGATTTGTCCACGAATAACAAACCAAAAATTTGTTGTGGCATGTGAACATTTCCTGAAAAAACAAAAAAATTTTTTAACTTAGGAATTTTTCCAGGAAAAACGCAAACGACACGCTCAACCGCAAAACATTCAATGGAGCAAAGAAAACAATTTTTTGAGGCAAAACTTTAACGCTTCAATACAACTATACGAAATGACTTTATAACACGTTACATAATGTATTGCATTAGCGAAGCTATCGTATTAATTCATGCATGCACGCATGAAAAGTGCCTCAATGCATGACACAGTAAGCGACAAGTTGAAAATTCATGCATTTAGACATATTTTATGAAATATGCATCGTCTAGAAACTGAGGAATCACTCCCAAATAATGAAAAGAAATGATTGTGAAGTCACACTTAGCTTCTTCTCTTCAATCAGTGTATTTAAAACAGAGACCTGAACTATACTGAAAACAAATTAAGCATGATTTGAAGATAAAACAAATGGAAATCACGGCTAATCCTTTAATTGAAACATTTGCACTGATAAAATTTGGGAGGAAAGTGAAGATGAATTCTAATCCCTATACATAAATCTTTTCTAAACAAATAGTACTGAAAAGTGAGGCAGTAGGACTGTTTCACTGATAACCTCTCAAGACAATATCAAACCGTTTTGTTCAATCTATTCGTTGATTAGACTGATTCGTGAATGACATAAGATTAAATAACGCTCAAATGTCACCGTGATGAATTGTGCAGTCGAATTTGACGAGAGAAGGAATATATAAATATGCAAAATAGCCGCCAATTTGCTCGCTCTACTGATTTCATGGCGTAAACAAAGACAATTTGAAAGGAAATAAAATTTCAGTCAACAACAATCACTAATCTTTAATGTGTCTTAAGAATCAAAAAAAAGAGAACCATAAGTTTGAGCATCTAAAAATGAAGAATAAAAAAATTCACATCCTAATAATTGTAGACATGAGAATGCTCAAAACTCAAATCTACCGGGAATATATTTGGTTCATTTCAAGTGAATCAATGAGAGCAGAGACTAAAAATGACTGATATAATGCTATTACACAAGTGAAGAAAGAATTAAGGCTGAAACATTGAGTCTGCATTTAACGAGTAATGTAATCCGGGTAGGGCAGTCCATCCACAATCGCTGAGGGGAAGGAGAGGAAGGGCGGGTAAATTTTATTTTCTTCCATCTTATGTCAATCACACTCCATATAACTGAAACATAGTGTAGTAAATGCATGTGTAGTTCGTAAAATAGGAATTTCTGTTGGGCATCTATTCGCAAACTCTTCATCAATATAACATGTGCACACACACACACACACACACACACACACACACACACACACACACACACACACACACACACACACACACACACACACACAGACACACACACACACACACACACACACACACACACACACACACACACACACACACACACACACACACAGACACACACACACACACAGACACACACACACACACACACAGACGCATACATACAAAGCAAACACTTCTCAGTGGCGAATATTGCAAGCATTTAAATGCAAGTTTTGATAAGATGCTCAAAACAGTTCAAAAATAGTACCATAAATATCAGTTCGTAAAGGAGGTTAAATACATCGGGATTCAATGCTAGTAAAACTGAAAGTAGAGACCTTTTCCAGCCTTTAATTGGACACCAATTTTATAAAGCTGCTTAAAACAGTTACAATTTAGCAAGTGCTTACTTCTGAATATGAGTTTTGACCTAGCAAGCACAGATTTTCATAGCATCATTGAAATTTAGTAAGCATAACATATATTCCTTGATAATGAGCATTGATTTTTTTAAATGTTCTTGAAATTTTATCAAAAATCGTTAGTGATAATTAAATTTTCAGCTAAAAGAAAGTTTTACAATCTATACTACCATAAGGAAAATTTTATAATCAGGTGTATGTTATAGCTCAGATTGCCGGTGTTTTCTCATTTTTTCTCATCTAATTTCAGTGAGTTCATTTCTTCTTCATTGCACTCGACTTTTTTTCTTAATTAACTTCATACAAATCAAATATTATGTGAAATAAAACTTGAGGTTAAAGTTCAAGGTTTTGCAAGATAACATAAATTAATATTGAAAGATTTTTTCCTAAGGCAAAATTAACTAGCAGTCTTTCCAGAAACAAATATGTGGAGTGACATCTCTCCGAATGTCATTTCCACTCCTTAATGGAACTTTATATTTAGTTCTCTCGTTTTCCTTCTTGTAGAACGTAATGAATTTTTACCATAACCTTGTCAAAAATTTGACTTTTGGGAAACAAAAATAAATAAGAGGACAGAAATGACAACAGTACATTGCTATCAATCTGAATATCTTTGGAAAGAAGTTAGTATTGTATCATAGACAATGTTCCGCATTGGAAAGCCTGCGGATCAGATCAAAGAAGATAAGAACCGATAAAACGGCAAGAATAATTTAAACATACCTCAGAATGATGTAGGACTTGTCAAAATCCGATTTTGATCTTTGATTCGATTAAATTGCTGAAATTCGCGAACAAATTTTTTTACTGTTGCACTTCACTACTACCTCTGAAGTGCTGCTTACAAAATTTATTCCTTGGAAAAATCGATTCTAGAGGAAGTTCTTCAAGCCTTTTTCTAATCACTAATATCACTAAAAGTACTCGGACAGATATAACCAATGGAAGAATAACTAAATTAGGGAACAATTCGACAAGCTTTCACTGAGATTAGAGATTTACGTACATGAATGAACTTTGTATTAAGTTCGAGGCAAATTTTTGAGTGCAATTTAAATCATTCATTTAATCATTAAACTAATTAATTTTAAAAATTCTTTCTTTAGACAGAATTTAAATAAAAATCATTCTATAAGTTTTCTTTCATCCTGGACAAGAAGTTCCTTAGTGGAGGAATAACCTATATATTCAGATAAGATTGCCTCTATTTCAATTTCTGCTTTAATTAAATTTAATGGTTGTATCTGCTAATGTTCCACATAAACTTTAGAAAGCAAAATCAGACATTTTTTATGGCAGAAACTTGACAAAATGAATGAATCCTGAACATGATTATGTGCAAGGGTGCTTGCATTTTCGCTTTCTACTTGATTAAATCCATAAAACTTTCTTCTATACTTCTTCTATACTTTCCTTTCTCTTCCTATCCATTCTTTAGCTTTTTTATGTCAATCTCAAATGCTGATAATCAATCAGGAGGCAAACCTTTTTGAACTAATCCTCCTTATTTCAGTATTACTTCTAAAAGTGTACATAC